TTCAAAGCATAAATCTTTGCGGTTCAATGATAATATTTAGACAATCCTAAATTACTTACCAAGTAGTACCTTTCCCCATTTTTGCCACCATTTTAGTTGCTAGATAGAGAAAACACTCTGTATTGTAAGTTGCCTTGTGACTCAAGTGAGCACTATGGTCAGAACCAAAAATAAGTTCAAGGCTTTTTGCAAATCAGTTTTTGCAGGTTGAATCCCTCAATTAGCCTGCATACTAGGACCTGCGGAAATCTGCAAGCACTGCATCGGACTCTCATACGTACAACAATGTTATTACTCTACTTCATGCTCATGAGAACATTGCAGAAAGAGTTTGAAGGCAAAAATTTGAACGCAGGCTTGCTGCTAGATCTATATCGGATGCGCTTCAAATATGAAAACTCAAATTTTTTTCTTGTACTCACTTCGCTAAGCATCTATAAGATAGATGGAGCCCTATCGCTCCCAAACTCAGAAAACTGCGGAGTCACCCACAAAAACAGATTCTGGGAACAAAATACGCATGAAAGTATTTTTATGCAAAAAAAGCAGATAAGCGTTTCTTATAAAGATATGACACAGCTGGACAAAAGCGACTGTTTTGACCTTTGATTATGTATATGCACAAAAAACTTTGAAAGCCGAGAATTACTTCGGTGCACAGAAACCTTAAGTGGTGTTATAGTTTTGGCCAACCTTCAAGCCTGCTTTTTTTTTGAAATTTTTGATTTTTTCCTAAGTAATCGAACAAAAACGGGATCCTTTCTGGTGTTGATGGTAGCCTGTTGAACACACAACTTTACCAAATTTCAGATTACTTCGTTGAGAAGCAGATGAGTTACGGCAGTTTTCAGGGTGGAATTATAGTTTTAGCCAGCACTGTATACGGGGTGTCCCAAAAGTAAGTACACCCTTTTCAATCGTTAATTCTCTTCCCATTGTGTCTTTTTCCGCCATTCAAGTACCATTCTATAGAGAAGGCTTCAACTTAGATCTACAGTGTCGAGCGAATCACCGATCGCTCTTCATTACTGTAGGATTACTGTAAGAATTTCGACAAGGATTTTAAGCCATTGGAAGCCATATTCTGCCTCGGAACAAAACCAAACAAGCCAGAAACTCTAACACTATGGTAATGGAAGCCGCTGATTTCAAGTATGAAATCCGCTTTACTGTGATGCTTCTTTCCAAAGTTATCCCAGATAAACCGTAATAACCGAATTTCCAGTATTAGTCTGAAATGTGATTGCACCGTCAAAAAAGCTGAAAACTCGTAAAAAGTTGTGTATTGGAATCAGCGTGCGCGGAAATCTTAGTACACGATCTTTCAGATTTTTTGAAAAAGTTTCGTCAGATGGCATGTTTCGCAATGGTTCCATGTGCTGGAAGTTCTTACCGTAATCCTAAAGTAACGAAGAGCAATCGGCGATTCTATCGATACTATAGATCTAAGTTTAAGCCTTCTCTACGCAATGACACTTGACTGGCCAAAAAAGACCCATTGGGATTAGAGATATTGACGATTGAAAAGGATGTACTTACTTTTGGGACACCCTGTATATGTAACATATATTAGGTCATTCCGAAAGTAATTTCGCTTTTTTCAAACGGGCACCACATGTGACAGAACAAAGATTTCTAAGAGATCTTGGAAGCATTCGATGCAGAATTTCATTCTCTTTCTAAGTTTATGAAATTGTCGCAAAACAGTCAATGAGCTTTCAGAAAATAACCAAAACCTGCAACCCATGCTTTTTGAGATTGTCAAGTTTGATGATTTTTCAAAACTTTTATATCAATCCTCAGAAGGATCGCAAGTAACGATTCGATAGAGTAAACCTTATAGGATACAGAACTACTTTTCTCTCCTTTCCATAGCTTGTCATACATTTTTAACAGAATTTTAACTGATGCTACCAATTTCCATACATGGGCAGCTAAATCCTAGTAGAACATCAAAAGAAGAGCAGCTCGCGCACTATTCGATGCAGCATTTTCTCCTCTTTCTAACAGGTGTTTTTTGTTTTCGATTCGTTTAGTTTCCGGGGATGAAATCATCATAATTCATTTTTTTAGCGAGCCCCAGGCTGTACCCAAAAAACTCGAAACTTGAATTTCGAACCCGTAAACCCTCACATGCTTTGTAAAATTTATGCTTACTCATAGTACTATCTTGGTAGTCTCAAATTCCAAAGAATTATGATGTTTGTTGCCATTGTGGCTGAGGTGGGCCAGCCAAAATCCGATGGTATTGTTAAAAAATCTTTTGAAAATTACGGCGAGATACGAGGAAGAGAAAAAAGTAGTACTGTATTCTATAAGGTCTACTCTATCGAATCGTTACTTGCAATCCTTCTGAGGATTGATATAAAAGTTTTGAAGAATCATCAAACTTGACCATCTCAAAAAGCATGGGTTGCAGGTTTTGGTGATTTTCTGAAAGCTCATCGACTGTTTTGCGACAATTTCATAAACATTAGAAAGAGAATGAAATTCTGTATCGAATGCTTCCATGTGCTTTTAGAAATCTTTGTTCCATCATATGTGGCGTCCGTTTGAAAAAAGCGAAATTACTTTCGGAATGACCTAATATATTAAGTTGATGCATAATTCCTGCACCAAATTAGGTACAGGCCACAATAATCCGCAATAATCCTATGTCCCAAATACTCAGACAATCGCTGGGGGCAGGCGGGCACCGGAAAAATAGATTGCTGATTTCTCGCACCCCGCTCGCGGATTTTTTGCAAAGCAATCAGGACTTTTCGGAGAACCGATTGCTGAGTCAGCGGATTTTTGAGAGACCGCCTGTTGAATTTTTTTCGCTCTTATCTTTTGCAGATATATTGCTGAATCTCTGAAAAATCGAGAATTCAGCAAGCGGTTTTCCGAAAAGTGCTGATTGCTTTGCAAAAAATCCGCGAGCGGGGTGCGAGAGATCAGCAATCTATATTTCCAGGCCCGCCTGCCCCCGGCGATTGTCTGAGTAGGACTTGATATATCATCAGATAGAGCAAAGCCAGCTTTACAAGATAGTGCTTAGAAATCTGCACCAGCTTTAATTCACGCGAAGTTTTGAGCCGAAAACTGAAAAAGCATGCGTTCGAAAACCTTAAGACCAATCAAAACAAAATTGTAACTTCGCTCAAAAAGCTCCTAAAAAATTTCTTTCTTACTCACGCGTAGACATTCCACGTAAAACATTAATCTATGCGGTTGCTGTATTTTTTTTCAGCTAGACGATGAGAAAACGGAGTTTTTTTAATGTTTTTTTTCCAAAACAATGCTGAGACGTTCTAGCACTAGCAGTTGTATAGTATTAGGTTGTCCGGAAAATAATGTCCGTTTTGAATTTCAACCTTGATAACTCACACACTTCTTATTTCTGAATGGGTTGCAAGGTACCATTTGATAGAGCAAAGTAAACTCTACAAACTGGCGATCTCGTTTTTGCAACAGCTCTCACTAACCTTGAGATTCGAGCCAAAAACTAAAATGATTCAGCTGCACGAAAAACCGAGAAAAGTCGTAGCTAAGTTCATAAAAATCCTACAAAAATTCTAACTTGCTCACGTAAACACTATCCACATAAAACATTCATACACGCCGTTGCCAACTTTTTTCACCTTTTAGAAACCAAGAAAACGGAAAATTTCGTGCATTTTCCAAAGTGATGCTGTGCAGTCCCCACATGCATAGTTGTCTACTACAAACCCGTAGCAGTACCAGCATAAATTTTCAGCTTTCTACAAGCCTTGGTTCTCGAGAAATATCGAATATGGTATTCCCTAATCAGGTGGTCCAAGCCAAAATTCAAATTTCTCAAGAATTAAAGCTTGTAGAAAGCTGAAAGTTCATTTTTGTATTGCTACGGGTTTGTAGTACACAACCATGCATTTGGGGACTGCACAGCATCACTTTGGAAAATGCACGAAATTTTCCGTTTTCTTGATTTCTAAAAGGTGAAAAAAGATGGCAACGTCGCATATGAATGTCTCATGTGGATGTTGTCTACGGGAGCAAGTTAGAATTTTGTAGGATTTTTATGAAGTGAGTTACGAATTTTCTTAATATTTTGCGCAGCTGAAGCATTTTAGTTTTTGGCTCGAAACTCAAGGTTAATGAGAGCTGTTACAAAAACAAGATCGCCATTCTGTAGAGCTTGCTTTGCGCTATCGAATGGTACCTTGCAACCTATTCAGAAATGAGAAATGTATGACTTACTACGGTTGAAATTTAAAACGGACATCAATTTCTGGACAACCTAATACATGCCGTCAGCAGTCAAACTTTACATTTTCAACCTTCCAGGACTGCTAGTTCACGAGAATTGACGAATCTAGCTCTCCTTGTTCGAATTTTTTCTTGCCTAGTTGCTACAAATTCGATATTTCTCGTAAACCAGCTGCTGTAAAGAGCTGAAAATTCACACTCACGCTTCTAAGGTCCTATAGTATACAACTGCTAGTGCTAGAACATCTCAGCATTGTTTTGGAAAAAACATGAAAAACGTCGTTTTCTCATCGTCTAGCTGAGAAAAAAATACAGCAACCGTATAGATTAACGTCTCACATGGAATGTCTACGCGTGAGCAAGAAAGAAAATTTTTAGGAGCTTTTTGAAGGAAGTTACAATTTTGTTTTGATTGGTCTTAAGGTTTTCGAACGCATGGTTTTTCAGTTTTCGGCTCAAAACTTCGCGTGGATCAAAGTTGGTGCAGATATTTAAGCACTATCTTGTAAAGCTGGCTTTGCTCTATCTAACGATATATCGGTTCCTATTTGGGACATAGGATTATTGCGGATTATTGTGGCCTGTACCTATTTTGGTGCAGGAATTATGCATCAACCTAATATATTACATTATATATATGTATATATATGTATATATATATAATCTCAAGGGGAACAGTCACTATGAATCCGTACTTCACCTTTTTCAGTGTTTGTTTCACATTTTGTATAAGTAAATTCCTGGAAAAGAAGGATTTAGTAGCAACTTACCGTTCGCGATTACCTTATTGATCTGCAATTTTGTACGATTTCTCGCACCAAGTTGAACCATGGCAAGTGCGAAGATGACCGAAACTGGAGATACTACCATCGATTTGGTTACAGGAGTTTGCCGAAGCATGTTCAAACCAAAGTTCATTTCAGAGACTTGCATGGAGGCACTGCAAATGCATTGTCTAACATTGTTAAAAGCGTGAATTAGTTCATCATAAGAATAAAACCTCTCAAAGCTCGGAGGTGACGACGATCCCATATCGTGCTGAAGAGGACACTAGCGACAATGCTGAAGTCAATGTAGAAAAAACGCGAAACTGCAGCACTTCTCTTGCAAATGATTTGCTTATACCATCGAATGTCGTGTAATAACGAATCATTTGACATCCGTCGGATTTTTATGGCCACTTTGTTGGCTGTTATGTTCAAAAAAGAATTGAATAAAATTCAAAAAGGAATTACAGGATTTAGCATTATCGTTTATGGCAAAGAAACAACTCCTCCTCCATCTTTAATTTGAAATTCAACAAAAATGCAAACAATTTGCTAATAATGCTCTTTTTGAGTGAAGGCTTGAGCGATTAGATACGAATTGGATGAAGTTCATGCATCCGTATGATTAAGCGTCTCTAACCGATAGTAAGATGCATTTTTCTAAAGAATAAGATGTGAAATTCTTTTTAACCATAAACATCTAATCAAAGAAATTTTTTTCTACTATTAAGCACTCTAATATAAAGAGCTTCTCCAATGATTTTACGGGTCCTCTCTATCATGTGTAGAAAAAAATGGTTTTTTGCGTTTTTTTAACTTCATCCCTACTGAATGAGCTGGGTCTACTGGCATAGGAAATTAGCTGGAAGCCAGAAAAACCCTTGATTGTTCTGCATGACAGCTGAAAAAGACAGGTAATATTCCAAATTTGCTCGAATGATTTATACGTGCAGGTAGTGTCTAAGACTTATCCAGTGAAATATCGTGTTGTTTCAAACGTTCTGCCCCGTTTTCTGGCTTCAAAAGTTCATGTTGATTTTATTCTAAACAATCAGTGCGAGCGAAGCAATTTGCATTATTGTACACTTCAAAATTGTTTTGTAAAAAATATTTTTGGTAGCAATATGCATTACAGATCACTTCATATCGCAACAGCATCGAGAAAGATTTTTAGGCAAAAGCCCCCAAGCATTTTTAGGAAACTCCTACAGAGGATCATATTTCAATCTTTAATGGAGGGAATAGCGCCAAGACTGCTTATGTAGTTGATGGTAGTCTAATATTAACTTCGGATTTCACTGAAATCTTCTACGAAAAGTTTCTTCAAATTCTAAGAATTTATTTTTATTTTTATTTATCTATTCAATACGCACAAGGCGTGCCATAATTGGAACAAAGAGCAAAATAATTAGAGCATGAACAGTAGAAAAATAACAAAACATTCCCAAAAGCTCAAGTCCAGCTCCGTGAGTGGAAGGAGGTTAAGCCTGTAGACCGTTTATGAATATCAGTACAGATGCTCGGTGGAGTCTGTCCCATGCCCCCCGCTTGCAGCAAAAGTGCTCTTAGACTATTCAACTTCAGCAATTGTAATGCGGGGAACAAATGTAATAAGAAAAATGTGCCCGACTGAGTTTTGGGGAGAGGGCAGAACTCCGAGAAAAGATTGTGATGCTAAAAAGATGTCAGGTCAGACAAGCTTCCCAAATAACAACGGAAAGGAGTGAATCGGACCCGAACCACGTGTGGATAAAGTAAAAATCGGAACAGTGAGTGACGTGAATGTCCACCGTCACAAGTTTGGTACTTGAGAAAGCTATCACTGGAAGACCCTCTGCGGATGAGTGAGAGATTGGCAGAGTTAGTTTGTTACATAGTACTGAAGTAGGTCCGCAACACAAGTAGCAGTGGGTATAGGGAAGGTTCGGCAGGCAAGGTAGCACTATACGAGCGATGACAAGTAAGTACTCTGGAAGAAAATCAGTCAAATTCAACTTCTTGAATAAAATCAGTCAAATTTAACTTCTTAAGTCTTCGTTTGAAAGTGAGACTATCTGGAGAAGACAAAAATTTTTTAGGTAAACACTGAAAGTATTTTGAAGTGCGTGCGAAAAAACTGTTTTCTGATAAAGATTTCAATTGTTTACGCCCACCATTTAGATGTAAATAAACAGAAAACCCGGTGATCCTTCCATGAGTAGGCCTGAACACCCAATATTTAGAAGGTCTTAGCTTAGTCTCGTTTCTAAGAGTCTGAAAGCAAGTATTATATTATGCAGAATCCTAGATGTGTAAGGCTTTTAAGACCTAGGACTTTCATTCGTTTACCATAGCTTGGAAGCGATCGTGGATAACCACGACTGGGTTAACATCTGTAGAAAAGCAAGCGAGTAAAAACCTTCTGAACGTTCTCCAGGGCCTGCTTATGCTTCCTCAGAAAGGGGCTCCAAACCTGACTTGCATATTCTACAGTAGGGATGACAAATGCTTTATAGAGTTTCAGTAATAATTTTGAATCGGCTGCTTTAATTTTACAAAGATGGTGTACAGAATTGAGAATGCACGAGAAGTAGAATTTGAAATTTGCGAGTCTGTTCAAGGTGCTATCGAACATAACACCTTAGTCTTTAATAGATGTTTTATTTACCAAAGAAACTCCAGCATGCTCATAGTGTTTATCACTTGCAGTAGCACCAACGTGAAATACGGAGCTTTTGTTTATATTTACTAAAATGTCCCAATTTGTGCACCATCCAACCATGTTATTGATGGCCCGGTGTATAGCATCTTAAATTGTTCTCTGGTTATCCCTATTGTATATACCATAAATTTTGATATCGTTGGCATACATGAGAACGTGTGTGTCAGGATGAGTTTTTATAATCTGGGGTAACACAGCAGTATAGACTAAGGGCCGCATGCACTAACGTCGCCGCTGGGGAGGGGATCGCAGCTTAAAAGAAAGCTTTATATTTCAAAACTCCAGATACCTGGATTTCACGTTGTGTACCTATTCGTAAGTATTACTACTACCCTTCACTATGAACATGTTGAAGAGGAGCGAGAAGCTGTACGAACGGCATTTTCCAGCTTTTGTATGATCCCTGATGATTCCCCACGCTTTTCTTTAGTCATTTTTCTTTCTTCGAAGTTAACGAAAACCTTCCAAAGTTGTACTGAACATCTAACATAACAGTGCTAAGCATGTTGCTGATGAGAACAAATGAGTTTTTGAAAAGTCGAATTTTTCGGTAAACCTCAAATTTCGACCTGTGGATCATCGAAAATTTCATGACTTCAAAACATCATTTGTTCTTATCAGCAACATGCTTAGCACTGTCGGGTTAGATAATCTGCACAACTTTGGAGATTTTTCGTTAACTTCGGAGAAAGAAAAATAACTTCAAAGCAAAGCGCCGGGGATCATCAGGGATCATACAAAAGCTGGAAAATGCCGTTCGTACAGCTTCTCGCTCCTGTTCAACATGTTTATAGTCAAGGGTAGTAGGAATACTTACGGATAGGTACACAACGTGAAATCCAGGTATCTGGGGTTTTGAAATATAAAGCTTTCTTTTAAGCTGCGATCCCCTCCCCATGGGGATGTTAGTGCATGCGACCCTAAGAATAACAAGGCTGAGAGAGCCCCGCCCTGCTGAAGTCTGCTTATACAAGGAAAACGTCCAGAATGATCTCTCCCCTCTCTAACCGTCATATACCTGGAGTGCAGATACGATTTTAGCCACTCAAGCAAGGGTCCTCCAATACCATAATGTTCCAGCGTTCAGCAATTTACTGACTTAAACGATCAAAAGCTTTCGACGAATCGAAACATATAACGTCTACTTCTTTCTTATCGCGATATGCCTTGGTCCAGTCATGACTACAATCTATTACTTGGGTTACTGTGGATGCACCGCTGACAAACCCATGTTGTTCAGGGGTATGAGATTGAACCTTTCCAGCCGAGAGAAGTTTGTCACGGACAATTATTTCAAGGACTTTACATGGTACTGATTTATGCTTATAGGTCTAAACTCTGTCATAGATTGAGGTTTGGGAACTTTCGGAACTGCAGTGACAATTGCTTCTTTCCAGATGTCAGGTATTTCACCACAAATGAAACCAATACTGAAGATATGTGACAGAGGGAGCAAAAGTTCTCTTGCACAACGTTTGAAGACAATCTGAGGAATGCCGTCAAAAGGTTCAAATTTAGAATGCTTTAGAGTTTTAAGGAAGTTTTCAACAGTAGAAGGCATGATTATAGATGTTGAGCAGGTATGGTTCAGAGACGCCCCCAATGTTTTAGTATCCGTAGTACTTGTGGAATACGTAGTTGCAAAAAACTCAGCTAATGCTGAAGCCTTAGACTGATTTGTTAGGGAGGTATTGCCTAGCGTGTCTTTCAAGTCGCCGTGATGCTGTGCATGCTGTACACGATCGATATAAGCAAAGAGATTCTTAGAGTGATTAGACAAAGCCAGGTGTCTTTCCTGATTTGCGAGGAATTTCTTGATGTGAAATGTCACGTCAGAGCAGACCTTACTGTGTAATGGGCGGTTATACTGAGCTGTTCTGAAAAGTCTTTCTTTCTGGAGCAGAAGCGCTGTATGTGACGCGGGTACCGTAGATAGCCAATTCTGTGCACACCAAATGGACTATATTTAGCCAGTAGACTATACATAAACAGCAAAATCTGTAGTATACATCAGAGGGGCTAATATACCGATCGAAGATCTCTTACAATCAAGAGTGTGAAGGTCATTTTTCATTGATTCGAAATCAGTTTTGTTGAACATGGGAAATGGGATAAGTTCATTTTTGGGATTGCGGAATTAGTACAAAATTTCGAATTTACTGTCGCTGTTTCTATAATGTGCGGGAAAAAATACCGTTTGAAATTCCCACCTTTTTGCAGCTACAATTGAGAGTTTTTCAGGTGTTGAAGTGGGCTACATTCAATATACAAAGCGAAAAAACCATATTGCATTGGGCTTATGTTTTGTTCGTGATTCATTAGAATCACTACAGCTTGTTGTGCTGAAAATTTGTAAACATAACACCTTACGTTCGTGCTAATGATATGTAAATTGGAAATTTTTTGAAACACATCTCGATCATAATTTTGTTGCACAACCACGAAAAATGTATAAGTTGCAAATAACTGCTCTCTCTCGAGAGCGAATTTCGTGGAAATAGAGCAGAAATGAAGAATGCGCACTTGCTTCGCTGGTCTTCAAAGTAGGGAGCCGCATAGGTTAAGCAGAGGTTTTCAGAAAAGGAAGAAAAATATATGGGAAAAATCGTCAAGAAAATTAAAATAAAGAGCTTTTAAACGATCTAAGTTAAAGTGATGCAGAGTTTTTTCCT